GAGCTAGAACAGCTAGGGAAATCTGTCAGCTCCAGCAACATACAAACCACTTCACTGAAGTATCCAAATAACACTGCCAATTCCTCTTTTCCTATCCTTTGTCATCAGTTAGAGTTTTCTTATTTACTGCGCATTTCTGTATTTTAAGACACTTTAGCAGAACTCTGAGTGCTCTTGATAGGGCCCAGCACATTAATCCAACAATAATTATTTCATACATGGAAATCGGTGGAATAAAGATCTATGAGAAAAGGGAGAAAAAGACTTGGAAGCATTTCATTTTCTTTCCTTTGTGTATTGTTCCTCTAAGAAAGGGGAAACATTTTCAGTGGTCAGACAAGGAATATTAAAGAGCTGGAAACATTAAGACTTCGAGAATATGCAGAAGAGACAGGATCTCCAAACTCATCCAGAGTAAACATGGCAGAACAGAGGCAGTTTCTTGATAGTTATTTTTCCATTAAAGACATAATTGATATGTGTCTTACTGTGCTACTTATTCTGTATTATTGAACAGAATTAAAGAATTGTAGCTTTGCTATGTTTTTATTACGCAGAATTAATTTTCATGCCTACAAGTGCTTATGCTAAGGGTGCTAAAGTTACTTTCATGGAGACAAGGTGCAGGGTTCCTTACATCCCTGACATTTGATGTAGTCTCTTAATCTTACCTGCATTTCATACCAGCCTCACTCTACTCATTCTTTTCTAGAGTTAGACCTTGTTACCTGTTTCGGTTTAGAAGACAGGTGTCTGCTAGGGATGGCAGGAGCCTCCCTTGGAATGAAAAAATGTAGACCCCCCTCCCTCCAAATTATTATAATTCTGAAATCAAGGGGTTTTCAGGTAAAGATCTGGGGATAGGAATAACAGTTCTTTACTAGTATAGCCAGGTAAACAAACAAACAATAACTACAGCAATAACAAGAACACGGAACCAGGGACCCCGGGACAGCTTTCTCGGCTGAGACGGGATGGGGGAGAGGCTTTGTTTTCACAAACCCCTCAGGCAGTCAGTCCCGGTGCTCCTGCAGGGCTCTGAGGAACACTTGGAACAGCAGGGATGAGCTGAGATCCTGGGCTGATGGCTGAGATGTGTCAGCAGGGATGAGCTGAGATCCTGGGCCGGTGGATGAGGTGTATCAGCAGGGATGAGCTGAGATCCTGGGCTGGTGGCTGAGGTGGATCAGCAGAGGAATGAGATGAGATCCTGGGCTGGTGGATAAGGTGTATCAGCAGGGATGAGCTGAGATCCTGGGCTGGTGGCTGACTGCCACACGTCCCGGCAGAACAGGGGGTGCGAGGCCACCAACAAAGAGGGGAGAAGGAGAAGAAGCAGCAGCTCCGTCTGGGTGATGGCAAAATTCCCTTCTCCCCACCGCAGCAGCTCTGCACCCAAAGTGTCCTTCTCCGAAGCTGAAGAAAGCCAGCCAAAACTGTCCCCACCCTCCTTTTTCCTGCCCCCTTCCCACTCTGGGCCCGGCCAAACTCTGTCTTCTCTCAAGCACCCACCAAGTATCCATATTTAGGTTGTCCCTGCAACTAATGGGTAAAAATTCCACGGGCAAGCCAGAACTAAAAAAAAGGACACCTAACCCCCAACATTACCCCAGCACCAGACACTCCAAATTAAAAATTACTGCAGGATCTAATCACTGACACTTTCAGATGTAATTGTTACCCAGTAAATGACCATGAATTAAAAATCTCATTAATTTGGTTATAACACCTTATTTTGCACACAGTTTCTGGACCTGTGATTGAAGGCTTTGTGTAGATTGCCATGCAAATACCTCATTTGAAATAGGTGTTTATATTATGAATTATGTTCTTCTGTCTGTGTTCAGCTCTGTCTGCTCCCAAACCCAGTTTCCTCACTGTCCTGCTTCTCAGATCTTCTGGAAGACTCTGGCTGCAGGTGACAGCAGTGTGACCAGTGATGATGCTCTGAACCAAGCTGCTTTTTCCCATGTTCCTCATCATGCCTGATCCAGACCCTGCATCTGGCCCAACATCTACCTAGTCCTGTTCTGATCTTTAGTGAGGTTCCATACTGGACCTCACTTTTAATATTTTTATATACATATTTGTAAGCTTTTGATGTGTATGTAATTGGGAATCACTGTTCTCAAACTTTCCCTTTTGATTTGCCACAGTACAAATATGACCACTAAGCTATCAAGATATCTATACTCCAAACTGGTCAAGTTGTGGTGCCACAAAAAGCAGCGTAATAAAAAAAAAAAACCAAAACACAGAATGATATAGAATATAGCTACTATCAAAATGAGTACAACACACTAAAGTAATTCCTTCTGTAGCTGCCAGGAAATAAAATCACTTAGATAAAGCAAAGCAAGAGAAGCTTAATAAATAAATGATACAGTGAAGGCAATTCTTAGCCCTCCCCCTTTAACTTTAATGAAAAAAATCTCATAGGATAGGATAGGATAGGATAGGATAGGATAGGATAGGATAGGATAGGAGAGGATAGATAGATAGATAGATAGATAGATAGATAGATAGATAGATAGATGAATAGATAGATAGACAGATAGATAGACAGACAGACAGACAGATAGACTTTTTTCTAAGGACAAAAAGATAGAGGAAGCACAAATATGGACTTTCTTGGTCTTCAATGATCAGCACTTTGCCTTTTGCTTTGAAAGCTGTTGTTACTCACTGAATAATAAGCCCTGCTTCCTCTGTAATAAGGTTGGCAGATGTTTGCTATCATGCATCATAAGTCTGAAGGTGTATTTCCATGGTAAATACAGAGTATGAAACCCACTATTTGAATGTCATTCCCACAGCTCTAGACAGAACTAACATTCTGTCACTGTCATTTTAGCATCCTAATTACATCAACATTGTCCTTTGTGACTCTCACTGCAGATTTCCAATCAAAATGTCTGTGATGAGGGAAGTAGCATTACTGCAATCAAACAGCTGAACAACATCTCTGAATAATCCTAGCTTGTTCAACTTCCCAGACACAATATAGAACATAGATCCGAACACCTAAACATGGCAGGAAAGTACACCTATGCTGTGAACTGCTCTGGATTAGACAGCTGCTGAGGAGCTGAGCTAAACATGGATGAGAACTGCCAGACTTCAGTGCACCTCACTCTTGGGACCCTATAATATTGTAGGATGCTAAAGAAAGAACATAACCGATGTAATTTCTGCCTTTTAGTATCTTTCCTGTATGCTTGCATAGATGCATAGGAAATCACACACACACAAAAAAATCCCACACCATAAAGTCATTAAACATTTTTTCACCGTTGTTTTTTGATTCAATTTCATGGTAAACCTAAATCCAGGAAGCCTGAGGTTCCTGAGTTCTTCAGGAGCTCGGGGAGCTTCCATTTTCCCAAGGAGATACATTTCTAGGAATCACAATTGTACTGCAAGGCTTGAAAAAGTAATGTGCTCTACCCCAAGAACAAAAATACAGTAATGTTTGCAAAAAACCCTATTAGGACATTGTAGGAAAACAGCTCCTAAATTTCACTGCTATTTCCAATAGAGTATAATGGACTTGCTGCTGGGTCTTTCAAGGCAGAGAGCTCAAGATTTGAAATAGTCTTGAACAAATGCTCTTTTTTACCTTTTCTAATTTTTTTTCTTCTTTTGATGTCACATGGGTCTGAACCATGACTGTAGACTATTTTGTGTCAGGAGCAAAAGTTGGGCTGGATACACTTGGCTGCAATGCTTCATTAGAAACTGTTTTAGAAATTGAGTAGACCCAGAGCAGAAAAATATTTGAGTGATACTCTCTGTGATTTGGAACTCATCAGAGATGTGGGATGAATATGGTCTGAACAGCTCTAACTCTATTACTGTTACAGAATGACTGCTCTAATTCGGAGAAATTTGCCAATTATTAGATGCTCGTGTCTTCTTTTACTGCATGTTAGGGCTATGTCAGTTTTCATGTGTGGAGAAGTATTTTGTGCAGATTTTGTTTTATTTTTTATGTTTTTCTCCTAAATGATTCATTAATTTTACACTCCTATCCTCTCTTGACTTCTCTACCAGTGAGAACACTAGTGAAACAAAAACTTGGGAATGGTATACACATTGCTGTCTGCACATTTGGTGAAGAAAACAATGACTGTGGTTTTCCAGCACTGTCCTCACTCCTGAAATGTGAAATATGAAGAATACACTTATTTTGTGCAAAAAATACACAAAACATTTTTTCTGCTGTGGAAATATATATAGAAGTCTAAAAAAAGGTTTCAGAGCTACTTATGCTATAAATAGCAAAAAGTGTCCCCTTATTCTGTTATTATAAAAAAAGAAAAATAAAATTAGGATCCTTACATAGCTCTCAGATCTAGAATCTGTTCTTGGGTGAAAACTTCATCCTGGACCTTCAAAGCTGTCTGTTCTGAAAAGGACACTGGTCTGCAACAAGTCTTCCCAAATGCACATGGAGCTCCCATTCACATTCTAGTCCCTTCCACAGTTTTTTCCTCAGATTGTCAATCTTACTACTTAATCAAGGTATCACTTTTCTGGAGTGCTCTCAAAGGATTGCTGACTGTTACAGCAATTGCCTGGGTTTGGAAATCCTGATATGTTACCTGTAAACACACCTGTTTTTTTAAAAAACTGCGGAAAGCATAATGACTGGTCTGGTATTAAATCTTGCTATAAATGAAAAATTTTTGCTACATAAATAAAATCTCCCTCTACACCAAAAGGAAGAGGTTTATTTCACTGTAAACTTCTTTACACTTTAAATATATCATTTAATTCTTTTAGATATACAACTATACTTTAGACTGCCATAAAAGAGAAGCTGTTTTGGCGCTTCTGACAGAAAATAGAAATGAGAGCAACCTACTATAAGCTTGAGTGTTGATGACATTTTACCTGGTCTGCTTGAATGTTGAAAGAGCTGATGGTCACACTGGCAAGTCAAATCTTATGCCTTGATTTAGTTTCCTCAAACAGAAAATGGAGTTAAAGAGACTCACCTTCTTTGTACAGCATTCTGAAAGTAGATACAGAAATTATCGTGTAACTAATGTCATGTAACTGTTTCTCTTGTACTGACTGAATCCTCTTTTAAGTGAGTAATTGGGATCTGTGACAGCTTTGGGCTTGCAAATCAGCGCAGATGAGATTCAGCAGACTGGAAAAGCAAAAATCAAAAAGTGATCTATCAGATTGCTTCCTAATCTCAGCATCATGCCAAGTGCACAAAGTAGGGTGTCGTAATTGCAGAAGAAACTCTGATTTGCATCTCTAGTAGGTCCAGATCACCAGATCATAGCCTCAATGTGTTTGCTTTCCAAATAAGACCAAAACAAATAATTTTTGTTCAGATATCATGGGAGCACCAGCTGTGATTTTCCTGAGCTGATGTATCCAACCTTTCAGCATCGTTTTGGGGTGGGGTGGAGGGGCTGGACTGCACTGATGCCCTGAAAAGAAACATGGAGCAGAGGTGGCTCACTTGAGTATGGCCAGATCCACTATGCAGCGAAGATCTTACACAGCATAGAGCTTGTGGCAATCCTCATGAATCACAATTCGTTAGCACTTCTACTACTTTACACAAAAGGGCAATGGGATCAGAACTTTGCTCACAGGAGGCATGTACAGGTAATAGTAATACACTGCATGGGTCTTGTGTGCAAAGGATTTCCTGTTTGAAAGATTGTAATGCACTTTCTTTTACTGACACCAAGTTTTTTTAAGTTGAGAAAATACAGTTCCTATTCTAGTATGACTTCAAAGCATGGAAAAAGCAGTTTTTAGTCTCAAGGTGATATGAAGAAGGATAAAAGTGATGGGCACAGAGGAAAAGCAAACTAGGCAAATATACCCCAAGCTGATATGCAATAGAGCTATTATTATTATTACATTTTCTCTCCCTTTGTATACTGTATGTTTAGAGACTTGATAGTAGAGTAGAATTAGCAATCTCTGTTCATCTATTCATTACTTTCAGAGATTTCAAATGCTTTTTAAGCTGGCATGGATGTAAACCCAAAGAAATCAGTAAGAACACGTAGAGTTCAGCAGTTACACAACAGAAAAAAGAAAAAAAAGTATTTATGGAATTCTGTCCCATGTTAATTTCTTTCTTACTGCATTATTAGCGTAGTTATGCCATTGTAGCATGTTGCTATTAAAACTCATTCACAAAGGTTATTTTTCAGGTTTAAAAGTTTAAAAGTTTTTGGTTGTGGTGGACTCCATTGTCTCTGAGGCAAAAGTTATCCCAAATTCCTTCTTCTGTTTTCTTCTCTCAACTACTAAATTCAAACTAAATATTTGAATTATTTCCCCAAAACATGGTTTCAAATTAAGAGCTATCTTTTTAATGACATATGAATTACCAAAGTGATCGCATATTTTTTTTCTCTATTATAACTTTAATATGCTTTCAGTAAGCTCACAATATTGTTTTATAAACTTAGGTATAAGAATAATAAGGATGAATGAAGACTCTTATTTCTATTTTCTTTCATAATCCATTCTCTGCTGGAGCTAAGAAAAAAAAGAGCTAAAAAAAGGTGTTATGACAATGAGAAGATTAAATATTAAGTGCCAGCAAGTGTTTCCATTTCTCTGCAAAGACATATACAAAATTAGCTTTTTAAAGCTTCTCACAAAGTATTTTATAACTGTTTTACATTTAGCATAAAAAAATCACTTAACTTTGGACTAGCAATTTAATAAATATAAAGAATCTAAATGAAATTAATTCTTCTACACAAAAAAAAAAGTTAACTCTTACTATGCGAGTCTAATAATAATGGCCACATTAAATTCCTTGCTTAGTACATTCTAATGGTTTTGAGAACAAGTGTAATTTAAGCTTCAGCTATATGTTTCAGAATTCTACAAAGTGCCAAGTCAAAATGGTAAGCTTGGTGAAATGCACTGGCAACTTAGTGAAAGGAATAAGGTCATGCTTTTTAAAATCACCTGACATCTATATGCATTAAAAATCCATCAATATTTTCAAAACTAACCTAGACATTTTAATTGGGACTTCATCTTCTAAAAGTTAGGCATATTTTCTAAATTGGTTGCATAATCTATTTTCATAGTAAAGGAGGGAGACTACTCAGTAAGTAATTCACAAAATAGCTGTCTTTTATGGAGAGTAGATGCTTTTTTCTTATTTCCTCTAGGGATGTAGAGTTATAAATCCTCTTTTGGAGTCAAGTGGATGAAGTAGGGACAGTTCTTTCTGGATTGGCAGGTGGGGGAATATAAGGAGCATGCCTTAAATGCTGTTCAAGGAAATAGGAGAATCAAATCCAAATACCTTCTGTGTTTGATTTGGGTTATTATCTTCCAGGAAAGAAACAGCTAAGCTGTAAGGAGGAATTCAGAAATTAAGGTATTTGTGCATCACAGGTGAGACTTAAATACTTGACTACTGTAATAGAATGTGATTCTCACCAGAGCATTGTGGCTGTGGAGACAAAATCTTCCATCTGTGATGCATCCTAGAATACAGCAGCTTCATGTGACAGATTGCAGAATGGGTAAATATCTGTTTTAAAATGAGACAAAACACATTTTAAGGATATCTTGTGACATCATAAGTCAGAGCTTTCAGCTACACATCAGTTAGCTATCCTTCCTCTCCCACTCTCCATGCTGACTTATAAAATTAACTGAAGTTCAGTAATGTTCCAAAAAATCATGAAGGGGTGAGACATACTATAGGGAGAACACGTTTTGATTTGAGAATCGTAGGAGGGTAATGAGATGTCCCCAGGCTTTTGGTATCTCAGTCACAGTAGCAAGGTCTATGGTTTCCTCAGAGCCAAGGAGCCAATGTGTGGATTTTTATGCTGGAGACTTCACCAACAATTTGGATGAAGAGGTCTCCAGAGACAGAAAGCCTACACAGCAGCTGAGAGGGTGGAATTTCCCACAGGTGCCTAAACATTTGAACTTAATATGAAGCCGTTGCCTAAGTCCTCTTCAATGAGACTTTGGCTCTCTAGGCTAGATATGAAATATTTCCATAAATGCCTGTAGGTCAAATGTTTTACTTTTATGTCAGGACCTAAAAATTCAAATAATACACCAGGAGGAATTTACTAAAGATTCTGGGTATTATATCAAACAAATAACATTCCTAACTTCAAATTCTGCCCTCTCCATGCCTTGTACTTGCTTTTGAAAATGAGATTTTAGAAAGAATTTTATAACATACTGTGAAAAACTACCCTCCCATTTCACCAGAAAAAAATGCAGAAATTTTGTTGGTTCAAACACTGACTTAATTTTCATAACATCAAGCTTACCTATAAAGAAGAAATAAAGGAGAGTGTAAATACTAGTCTTTTAGGGCTTTGATATATTTGAAAACAGAATCCAATTAAACCTCTATATTTGATAATCTTTGTCTTAATAAAGTTGCTGTGGGTGTTATTGGCATGAAAACATGGAAAAGAAGCATGATTATTTTCATATTTGTGTTTAGATATTTTACCATTATAAACATATGAGAAAACCTGCTTGAATCTATCAATATAGAAATCAGCAAATAGTTTTAAAAAGGAGAGAAGGTAATTAACTTCACTTCTTAATGATGCTCCTAATTTAAACTATGCAAGAGATGTTTAATGAGTGAGAGAAATGTTGCAGAAAAAAACCTGTTATTCAGTTAAAATGACAAAATGGGAATCAGCAGTTTGAATCTATTTGCACGTCTTCAGCAGACTTACTCTGTGACCTTAACCAAAGTATTTAATTTTTGTGCCCTGCAGTTTTTCTATAAAATGGAAATAATGAGAGTCAACTTGCTGAGAGATTGTGGGCCTTAATAGTTTAGTATTTATATCTTCTGAGAGAATACAGATAGGATTGCAGAGTGTGATAAATGATTAACATTCTTTTGCTATCACCAAGCTCTGATATTTTTACCCAGCTACTTTATCGTACAAAAATCTTTACTTTTTATAGCCCTGTATCTAACAACTACCCTGACTGAAATGTATTGAGCAACAAATGTAAAGTCCTTCTCAGGTCTTCTAAATGTAATTAATGCTCAAGTTACTCTCAAAAGCAGTAGAGAACAATGATCTTCAACTCTGTCTCCATCGCTTGTACCTGCCAGTTCAACAGAAAGATGAGTAAAGAGTGTGTTCTGGGTAAAATATATTTCCTTCAAATTAATGGTTTAAAACTCCCCCAAATCAGCATGGAACTCATTGTCTTCAGGCTTAGCATGCAGGTCCTGGAGAATGGAAAAACCCCACAACTTTCTGCTTCTGACTGAGCTGGTGAATACACTCATGAGCAGCAGACAAGATTTGTTTTGCAGCTGATGACTTCCTGAAGCACAGGTCTGGCCCACACAGCTGCTGGATCTGGGTACCCCAGAGAGAATATTAAGCAAACCTCTCGAGCAGTAGTTACAAGAAAAAGGCTATATAGATACCAAATGCACTCTAATTGATGCTGATGAATTGTTCAGAGAAATTACAGAGTAATACTTATGATGAACAAATACTGCAATTTTGAATCAACAAGTAATTGCCAACAAATATCTTCAAAAATTTCCTACATAATTTCCAACAGAAAGAGGTTAATGGTCTTTTTAATGAAAACATTTTCTTGTAATTATTTGCTTTACTTTATACATTGTTACTTTTTATTGGGGTGTGCTGACAAAGCTCTTAAATTTCTTTAAATATGTGATTCAGCTAAGCAAGTGGAACTTCCCACCTGATTTATTTGTCATCATAAACTAGGAGAGGGCCCATGTATCTTCTCTGGTTATAAAAGATGATTTTATTTTGTGTGGATAAAATTCACACAAAATATGTAACACCACAACAAAACTAGGGGATTAGTACACTTTCCCATCTACATTTAATCCTGCTCTGTGGTGTTTGCATAGAGGTACTCTCATGAAGAGTAGCATAAAATGCAATGATATCAGAAACATTCTATACCTTGACTATATACTAAGTTGAATTATAGATCCTGAACTGTTATAAACAGGGTGCAAAAGAGTGTATATAGAACTCTTGTGTGTACATGTCTTCTTTACCTTCTTTCAAAATAAAAATCTAAAGGGCAGTGTCACTACCTAGGATGTTGCAGACAGTGAAGAGCTTTTTATTTGAATACTGCAAGTGCCAGCTCAAAAAACAAAACAAAACAAAAAACCCAGGAAAACAAAATCTGTCCACAATAAACATAGATCCAAAAATGGTTTGTGAAACTGTTGTGGTAAAGGAAACAACACAATAAAATAATTAGAAAATATGAAATAAAGATTCCTGTTTAGTTATTTGCTTATTTATTGTATTTATTATTTTAAACAATAATTTAATCTTTGTAACTTAAAATTGTATTAGTACCATGAAAAAATATGTAAGTTGTACTGTGATGAAGGAAAACTGCCTTTTCAGGACAGAATTGTAATCTCTTCTATCAGGCTTGAGGAGAATTAAACATTTGTTAGTATGACTGGTCTTAAATTCACAGAAAATAATAGAGGGATGCAAAAAGTACAGTTTCATGTTATTGAATGACAGCTATGGTCATCACAGCCACTGGGCATGACAAGTGAAAACAACAGAGCTAAGCCATGTAGCAAGTATGTTAAATAATGTTTTGAGCAAAGTAAGAGTGCAAACTAATACTTCCCCCCCCCCCATTTATGACTTACTGGTAAAAAAATTTTGAATGCCCTTAGAAGGACAAGATGCAGATATTTTTGACTAATATGATTATATTTTTAATGTGCCAAATGCATTTACAACCCTGAAATGCATTTGCAATTTATCAGATTAATCTAACTATATAAGTGTCAGATGTGATTTGAAGAAGCAGAAGGAAGAAATGCAATTAGAATATCAAAAAGGCACAATATGTTTATTCTTCTTTGAAGTCCTTCTGTCTAGCTATCCCACGTGTTTGTCACAACTCTACAGTCTGACCTTCAGGGTAACCACCCAAACACACAAAACATGAAGTTTCTTATTTTGTACTCATAGCTTTCCCCCGCACCTCTCCTAGCTATCTCAACTCCATTAAATATTTCAGTTGTAGTTTGAGTATTTCCAGACCTAAATAAAAGATTTTCTTGCTTTTTAAATCTAATAAATGTGAAAAGAATTTGATTTTTATTTTGGTTCATACACTAAAAGATTTTTCTTAGTTCACTATCACTGACTTGCTCAGTAAAATGCCTCTTCATCAGCCTCTGGTTTTCTCTGGGGTATGCAAAATTCTTCTTCAAAGCTGGGTCAAAGCCTTTTGAATATTCCCACCTTGCTGGTGTGTAGGGTAAGGATTTCAGCCAAGTGTTGTAGCTTGCACTGAAACTGTCTGGTGTGCTGAGGATACAGCTAGGCCTGCTCCAAACACACAGCAGGCCTTGTTGTACAGCTCCAGGGATAAACACCATGCCACACACCCTTACCTTCAAGCAGCTGAGGAGCACTTGGCTTAAAGCATTCACTAGATGTGTTCTTAAAAGGCCAAAGTTGTACTTCAGGAACGCATACTCATTTAAAATTGAATTAACAGCTACTTGCTACAGTGAGATTTCCCAGAGAGAGACTCTCCTGGATGTTCTGAGAAGTTTTTTTACACAAAATATTGAAAATTAATTGCAGCGCAAAACCTCTTAACTCCCTACACTTACTAAAGGCGTTTTTTCCCACTCCCTCTCTTCAATAGACTATTTTTTTCAGTATTTCTGTTTAGCCCCTCAGGGAAATCAAAAGTGAGTTGTGTCATTGTTCTTTTTTTATTTGCTCCATCTGATATTGCATTAGCTCTGAGTCACCTGCATTCTCCTGAGCTCTCAGTCTGATCTTGTCTAGGAATTGTACTCATTAACTCAGCTGAAACAACAGTTTACAAAGACATCACCAGCATAATGTACACAGTACAGAGTCAAGGTCAGGTTGCTTAACATATGCATTTGTTCAGCTGTTTTTGAATTTCCTCCTGCAAATGTGAGCTTGGGGACTGAGTGAGCAAGCTCAATGTGCTTAGAGATCATAGATGGAATACTTAGATGTAAGGTTCCTGCATCTACAAGACTGGGTTTTCAGCTTTAATTTTTTTGCTGTTTTAAATACTTTTTAAAACAATGTTAGCTACTATGAATAGAAAAGATAGTATTAGAGTGCATTACATTATCCGAGAAATATTTAAATGGATGTAAATGATAGCTGTACTATAAAACACATGGAAGATAGTAAAGTTAAGACTGGAAATGGAAGTTGTTATTTCCTGATGGCTCTAAACTATGAGATATATATATATACACATATATATATATATATATCAAGAGAAAATTGTCATTTTTGCTCAAACTGAAAATCTGAAGTACTTTTCTTGTATACAATACATTTTATTATTCAGTTGAATTTGACTTGCATGTTTGTGTTAGGAGTGATGTCTTGCTTAATAGATGATGGGCAGAGCCTATCTCAGACTGTGTTGATTTGGGTCATCAGGTAGCTCAAACTTTTTTGATATTTTGCAAAACTATATGACCACAGAACCCACT